GAAGTATTAAAAAGGTATTTTAACTTTTCCTATCACTTAAGACAACTATTTCATTTTTAATTACCAATTGCGTGTTATGTATTAATTAATAGCCCTCTCGGGCTTCCAAAAATTGCCGTAGTGGACGGTATTTCACGTCCCCCATGGCGGGGTATTGGTTAAAGTTTTCAACTAGCAATAATCGCACCTCAGTAGAACTTCATTGGTTACGATATCGCCTCTGCGCAAAGCTAAAGAAAACTTAGCCGACATGGACTATTTAAATTCCTACACATATGAGTTGGTTGAGAAGTATTTGGTAATGACCAATTTGGAAAGTGTATGGCAGTGAAAAATAAAGCAAGTTTTGCAAAAGCAGCAAAAGAACGAAAAACACAAGACTACCTAAATTCTACCTTTTCTACATGCCTAAATCATACATACAAGATGACAATCTAACGGCTATTTGTTTATTGTTGCAAGCAACAACACCGTACTGCATTTTCAAAAGAGATGCCCATGAAAAGTGTGTGCAAAAACAACCCCACTGGACCGAATTGACATTGCTAATCAGGTTGTGGATAGGGTGAAGGCACACAAACATACATACACACATTCCTAACTGCATGCAGTTTGCATTTGAATGCGTATGCCGGCAGTGCATTTGTTTTTGTTGGAGATGCAGTCGTGAGCAGCGCTGCACTTTTCATTTCAACTGTTGTAGTATAGCAAGCAATCTCCTTACTTCATAAATTTGCACTCTTCTTCTCTCGTATTTATTTATTTCTGCATTGAGTATTTGTTTTTGTTGCATTTTATAGCACCCATGCAAAGTAAAAGCTTCTGACATGTGTTTAGTAATAAAAAGGCATTCGCTAACTGTTTACTGCATTTGTAATTATACCATACATATACATTCATTCATACATACTTATGTGTGTTTTATGAATGTTTACAAGCAGAAACAAATGATAAATGCTAGTTAAAATCATGAATGAAGCATTTTACTACGAAAGCGTGTTTTTAAAGTAAACATAAAAATTATTGTAAAATATGGCATGTAAGATAATATATACATATGTATGTCATTTTGAATCAATAAATACACTCATATATAAAGTTTCCACACATTTTTAAAAAGGGTGAACGACATACTATACATAGTACATACATATGTACATGACATCCGAAATGAGTTGTAATGAGAAATGGGAGAAATTATAGAGAGAGCTCTTTCTTGTCTAATTTCGAAAAAAAAAAACTACCTCCATTGCGTCAAAAGCTCGATCTGGCTGGCTTAGCAAGTTCACCGCTTGCAAGAATCGTGACATATTGCGGTTAATCAAAGAAAGTTCCAAGATAACAGCTTCTTAATTCGAGGAAATTAAAAAAATAGTTTGATAAGAATATTTATGATGATGTTGTATGGAAAATAGTGAAGAAAAATGTATATCAAGCACGTGTACCACCAAGGAAACCATATATTTCCGAAGTGAATAGAAAGAAAAAGCTGGGTTTTGAAAATGTACTATTAAATAAATATAAAAGATAATTAAATGAATTAAGACAAATATAATTGATAATTACTCGTCCTATCTAAGGACTTTTTTTTGGAATCAAAACATATTTTATAAGTGGTAAAA